TTCCAATCCGCATATCACATTTTAGAGAAGATGCATTATTGGCATTGGATTTGAGCCTACCCGAGATCAGGATTTTGACGTAGAATAAGAAGAGTTTAGATTGAATTGTTGGGGAAAAAATAAGTCAAAATTTGGGATCGTCAAGCCTAACTCACATTCCGAATTGGTGTGTCCGGAAATGATGCTACACAGGAAAAAGTGCTATCCACAATCCAAGTTGTAAGGTCCATCTTAGTTGGTGGTCAATCCTAACTCGACTTAGCGGAATAAAAGTGAGAAAAATTGTAAGGCCGGTACATTTATTAGAGAAATCAAAATTTAAAGGAGAAATAAATTTTGAACATTTCGGCAAAATCACTAGGAAAATGTAGAGAAAAAGAGGAATATCTCGTAATCATTAGGAATATTCTCATAATTAGAAAAAAAAAATCTTGGATTAAACATAATTACTAGAATACATCTTAAAAATACAAACTCAAAACAAGGTAATCTTCATGATAGAAAAACAACGAATTCAAAGAGAAATTCGAATAACTTAATTGAGACTTCACGGCAAAGCAGGACTTTTCGAACTTCATCTTGTAATTTTGAATGCTAACCCATAACATCGAATTTCGTTAAAACAATCTCCGTTGAATCTTCTTATCTCGTATGGACTGCTACACGATGAAAATAGGTTAGGAAACTAGACTTGATTTTTGGTTTTGAAGCCAAAGAAAGAACATCTCTCATAGAGTGGCTAACTAGGTGGAAATTTTTCTCCCAAAAGAGAGAAGAGGATATAAGTGATCTCTCCCATAAAGAGAAAGTTAGTAAATTACTAGCCAAACTTGCTTGATAAGATGACAATTGATTTTTTTTTTTTTGGATTATAAATAGAGAGACGTTACATACTCGAAGAGGAGTTTAACGATACAAGACCGGACTTAGCTAAAGCGTCCGATAGAACATTTTCCAAACGCGGAATAAAAGCAAAAGAGATAGATTCAAAATCTATGCTAAGACAACGAATGTCGTGGAGCACAGGTTTCAGCTCATTGATCATATCATTTGCATTGAGTAACATAACAAGAGTGCGAGAATCCGAGAGACACCGGAGTGTTCGGATACCTGCATTGGTAACTGCAATTAGGGGAGTTTTAACGGCGATAGCCTCAGCTACGAGGGCTGAGTGTACTTGTCTACAGGAAGCCGAGCCTTGGAGGAGGGTCCTCATTGATAACTCTAGGCAATACCATCCCATTTATAAAAAATCGGTTTGATAAAAAAAAAAAAAACACATGACAATTGATACGCTTGCATTTTATACTTAGCATTTTACGTTACTTTCCACTTACAACTTTTGTTCTTGTCTCTAAATTTTAATCATTTCGGTACGATCATAAACAATTAAAATTGTGCTTTCACTATGAATTGGTAACCAAAATTGTACATATTAGAATAAACCAAATCAAATTAGGTCGAACAAAAAAAAATTCCTACTACTATTCCGTTTATAACAAATAAACAATTACAGAACCATACCATTTGCAGATTTTCTTTCAAACAATTAAAAGTATT